ACATTTCTTCCTCTAGATCTGGAATTAGCCATTTATCAAGCATGTCCTGTTTCTTTGAAGAAAATGGCGTTTAGAGACCACAACTGGGGCACTACATTTGACTTCCATTTGAATTATGTTCAAAGCTACTGAAGTCAATTAAGAAGCAGTCTTCTATTTCTCACAAATTCATGTAGCTGCATACATGTGAAATTTTAAGCCTGGGGCTCTCAGATTTTAAAATAGTTACATAATACGCTGGGCACCTGGCTGGCTGTCAGTAGAGTATGGGACTCTTGATCTCAAGGTCATAGGTTCAAGCTTCACGTTGGGTGTGGAGATTAGTTTTAAAAAATTATATAATATGTAATATGCTAATGGTGGAACTATTCTTCTATGTTAATAGTGGGAGTATAACTTGGTACCATCTATCTGAAAGACAATATCATAATTTTTATCCATGACCTTCAAAAAACCTTTAACCCAATTAATTCCACCTTTAGGAATTTATTAAGGTTCAGGATTTTCCTTGTAGGACTGTTTAAAATAATAACAGTATAAAAATCTCTAAGTACAAACAACAGGGAATTGGTTAATTTTAAGAATGTACAGTACATCCATAGAATGAAGTCTTCACAGTCATTAAAATGATGTAGATACTGTATCAATATATTGTTAAATAAGAAAGGTGGGTACAGAAGTGTTCATATTATGCCTTTAGCCACATGCCTAGAAAGGAAGTCTTGAAGGCTATATCCCAAAATCTTACCAGGGCAAACTGGGCTATTCTCCTGCTTCCACCGCTGGTTTAGGACTTGGTTTCCCTGGATCTGCCAAATCAGACACTACTCTTCCTGCTTTCCAGTTTCTAAAATTTTGTTTTTGTTGTCTTCTCTTCAATATTCCTTGTCCTTGTTGGATTATGCTCTCTTCTTTCCCCAGTCACTATGACTTTAGTGGAGATTTTAGGAAAGAGCAGAGGCTAATAAATATTTTGTTCAACCCTCCATTTTACCTAGCATCCCATTGTTTTTTATGGGAGAGAGCACACACTCTGAAGGGCTTATCAATTATAGAATATATGAATTTCTACTGAAAATAGTGCACCCATGTATGTATCTAAGACACACAAACAAAATTGTGATATAGCAGCACATAAGGGCTCACTTTGTATGCTAGTAATATAAAGGATTGGATACAGACACAATAGTGGAAAAACCAAAGTGGTAATAGATGGAAAAAGAGATTTAAACGAAAGTTGTTTTTAATCAAGAACTTAAAACCAGAAACGCTGAAACTGAAACTGAGTTGTGGGGCAAAGTGACCATATTTATTACTTAGAGGTCAAAAAATGTTTTCAAGGGGGCCCCTGGGTAGGTAGCTCAGTCGCTTAAGGGTCTGACTTCAGTTCAGGTCACAATCTCGAGATTCAGGAGTTCAGGCCCCACATCGGGCTCTACTGACTGCTCAGAGCCTGGAGCCTGCTTCAAATTCTGTGTCTCCCTCTCCCTCTCTCTGCCCCTCCCCTGCTCGTGCTCTGTCTTAAAAATAAATAATAAACTTAAAAAAAAATTTTTTAAAAGGTTTTCAGGAAACTTATAATTTATTGCAAATTTAGACTACTTTAAAGATAGATAAACTGTCCCTGGCAGCTGCTTTCAAGCTGTATCTAACATCTCTCCAGTTTGGGGAGACACTGACCCTTTCAATCTAGATAAGGAACATCTCCTCTCTTAACCCCAAATACGGGCTGTCCTACACCCTCTTATACTTTTCATTAGAAACACTTACTAACAAGAAGTTAAAAGCCTCCTGAAGCACAAGCCCCCACAACTGCACAGCCAAGGACACTAATCCCATCTTTGGAGAAATAATAATTATTATTAATCTTAACACGTACCATCCGCACGGACAGAGAAAGAACTGGAAGGGAGTTTGCTCAATTTGGAGAAATCTTCAGTTTTCACTAGCCTGTGAATATGACAAAAATGAAGTACCCAAACACAGAGGGCTGAAGACACCTCAGAAAACAAGGTTGATCATATCAAGTTTCTTTCCCTTTAAAAAGTCCTTCCCCAAACTTAGATCTTGCCTGAAGCTATGGGGAACACTAACTTTAAAAACTGTAATCATTTACTTTATTGATTTTGCTTGTGAGTTGTTGTCTGAATTTAGAAAACTTAGGGGCAAAAACATTCTCAACAAAATTTAGGCATTCAATTCTAAGTAAAAACAACAAATTTGCAATCATCTGAATTAATCAATATTAATGCCTTCAGAAGCAAAATTAAGTATGATATACTTTGATGTTTGTAAATCACAGTAACTAAAAGTATTGCATACTTACCCATTTAACAAATACTACTTAGTTGTAGCTGGTCTTGATTTTTTTTTAAAAATTGGGGGGCAGATTATTCTGTGCAGGACACCATTCTGGTCTTATAATTCTTTTCCTAGATTAAGACTGAAGTGTCAGTTCTCTCTTTATTTGCTATGAATTTGACAAAACAGGAAAATGTGGCTCCAAAATTTAAAACATAGTTTTTACTAAAATAGACTTTGAAAATAAATGAGGTACTTAGTATTCAAACCTTTGCGAAATACATGTAAGACCATGGTTTCCAAAATGACTCTGTTTTTCTATCAAGACAAAGACTTTTAAACATTTTGAATATTATTTAGAAATAACGTAAAGCAGTTAAGTGTTTTTTTAAAATGATCATTGTGTGTAGATACAGAGAGATCTAATCATAAATTTTTTTCATGGACTCCTAACTAGGAATAATAATATCTGTATGTGCAGGAAAAGAGACAATCGTCTTTCTGCTTAATAATCGCTTTCAGTTAGTAAGGAAAAGCTGCTTTGTGGGAAGCTTCTTTGGATAGTTCTCAGAGTTCAAAGAGTATGGAAGCTTTGAGTTGATTTCATCAAGTCTATTTATTAATGCATTTCAAGTTTCAAAAAACCTTACATCTTTGCACAATACTTTATTTTTTGCAATTTTTAGTAAAAATTTCCAAAGTGAACAAAAAGATACTGTATAAAACACAGTGGACATTAAACTGACAGTAGTATTAGATCTCATTTGTCTTGATCCTTTTGTTTTACCACATCTTGATTTGCAGTGGAAAGAGTTCAGTGCACGTATCTCTTGTCAGAAAACATTTAACTTAGACTCAAAATAAAATAGGGCAGTGTGTACCTGCCAAAACCCTACCACAGGATAACATTACAGGCAAAAAATGTACATGTTCCAAAGTCTACCACACTCAAGAAGTTACTAAGAACTCTTGCAGAATAAAAGTCACCATTTTAGAAATGCAAACCCACTTCCAACCTTTGCACAGTCCAAAAACAAAGGCATTTAAATGATTTAAAAGCAATTACATACATATCTACCTACTTGTTTGTTTAGAATTATTTATAGTCTATCTGGGGTTTCATGTACAAAATTTGTCTCTAAATCATGTACAAAAAGCTGTATTTTGAAAAAAGTCACCACATACTGTACAAGTTTACAAGGAAGAGATCCCATTATTTTCTCTAGCATTTTTGGCCTTGCTGGCTTGCGTCACATTATGAGAATGATTGTGTAAACCTTATACTCTTAAGAAACAAAAAGGAAAAAAAAAAAGCCAAAACACAAATCTTTTCACTGTTCCCTAAATTTGCCTCCTATGTGAAGCCAGAAAAATCATAGCTGTTTACTTCTAATTTAAGTGATGTAGTTGGAAAACAGAAGCAATAAATACGTCACAAGCTTAAAATTTTTTTGTAATGCCCCCTTCCATTTCTGCATAGCAATACGCCTGTTAATACATTAAATGCTTTTGCTTTCTTTAAAAAGCCAATTATTTACATCTGTTTAAAAAATAAATTTGGAACGGGACATTGTGCTGTTTCACCTTCATTGTTAAAATATTTTAGGGAAAAAAAATGTCAGAAGGCCTATCTACAATTTTAACTACTAGTTGAGCAAATCACCCTTCTTTAGTGGTTACCAATGATCAGTGATAATATGCTGAAAAAAATTGTTCCGGTATTTTGATAAAATAAAAGACCCAGCTTTTCTTTTCCAGGTCGGAGAAAACCAAAAACATAATTAGCATACTTTAGATATATGGAAAGCACAAATAACAGGCTACAAACAAAAAGAAGTCATTTCATTGACGTAATCTCTACCAAAGCATGAATAAAATTTCACCTATCGATTCAAAACTGGAATTGAATTAGAAAGTTTAAAATAAGTAAGCAGAAATCAGACATTTGCTTAAGAACTAACTCTGAAGTAGTATGCTGCGTATGTCCAGTTTGCACACGTAACTGTGTTCCTCAGCATAGCCACTCATGTGCTCTTAGCAGCCATTTGATGAAGACAAGATGAATATCAGAACCAACTCCATCATTATAAAAAGGTAAATGGATTCTCACTTCAAAACTGCCTGTGTAAAGCATTACAGAATCCTGGACCACTGAATACCACCATTCTCTGTTATCCTGAGTATGTCAATTAAACAGTAATTTTTCATTAAGAGCGGAAAAATTTTATAATACAAAGAAACATCCATATTGCAATTTCTGTTTACAATTGCACACAGAAGTACAGTGTACGTAAGAAATACATGTCTGCATATAACAAGGTATGTACATTGGCAAGTGATGTCTCCAATGTTGAGGTGGTCGAGCCTCCTTAGCCTTGATTGGCAGTTGAAAAAAATATATATATATTTCAATTTGTGATAAAAGTTTATCGAGAGCCAAGTTTGCCTGCAAGTGAAGAAAATGCAGCAACGAAGAACAGGGAACACGGGGCACATAATAATATTCTAAGACTTTGTGCCATTACGTTAAAAATAGCTGTCCATAAGAAAATTGGGTTCCTTTTCCATCCCCCCACCCCCAAATTGGAATTTTCAGGCTTTAAAACTTATGTAATTCCACCTGGTCTGAGGACATGATCTCTTGCCATTTTTTCTTCGACTGTATTTGTGAGGGTTTAGTTTGGGGATGATGATTTAATAGGTGTCTCTTTGGAGTGAAGTTTTCCCATTGTAGGCACTAGGAAGAACCAAGGCAAAAGCTGCAGTTAACGTCTCATGTGTCCCATTTGATAACTCTCCCGGGGCCTCTGACGCTGGGGCTGCTGAATGGGCTGTGGAGGTCTCCTCCTCTTTAAAGTGCCTGTGAATCACAAAAGTAAAACAGATTTACTGTGTGCTTTTTAATCTTAAAAAACAAAGATAACACTTCAATAAGAAAGGTTCTAGATCAGCATTGTATGTGTAATTTAAAAATTTCTGGTAGCCGTAATGAAAAAAGGCAAAAAGACAGCAAAATAATGTTCATAATTTTTTTTATATCACTTAATTCAATATAGCCAAAATATTATCATTTCAAGGTGTATCAATACAAAAAAGTATTAATGAACTATGTCATTCTTTTTTATATGCGAAGCCTTCCAAGTCTGGTATGTATTTTATATTTATAACACATCTCAATTTAAACTAGCCACATTTCAAGTGTTCAACAGACACAACTGTTAGATGAACATGAATTCTGAGGACAGAATCCATGAGGAATAAATTACTGAGTGCCTTTGAGCAAATGACTTAACCTCTCTGAAACTCAGATGCCTTGTCTGTCAAACAGGGATAATAATGAACTCATATAGTCTATATATATAATCTGTGAAGATTATATGACAATTCAGTAAAGGTGTTTTTTTGTGAGGGTTCAATAAATGATAGGGTTGTTGGTTTAAGTTTTTAAAGGTGAAATTTGCTTAAGGTGAAATCAAATAAAAGAAGTGCTACATTGCATGAGACCATAATTGGTAACATATCTAAAGAGGGTCATGTGGCCCTTAGGAATCCCTAAGAAATTAATATAAGTTTTAGAGAGCTGACACTGTCAATTTACAAAAAGCAGTAACATCAAAATCCAATTTCCTGATTGCCACCAACATACTGTCACAAGCAGTACTGAGACTACTGAGCTCTCTTGCCCCACGATAGGTAAATTCAGGGGAGCAACTGAGGGAAAATAGAGAAAACTGTAAGGAACCCCTAGTTTTAAACTACTTTATGTAGGGTAGTAGATGTGGCCTGAGGCAAGAGGCTTCATGAGAAGTCTGTGCAAGGTAGGAGAGGGACAGCTGCCAGTTAGCTCTTGTTCTCCTCTGCCACTGTCATGGGATGATGTATGCCCTACTCCTAGAGTGAAGAGTTCTGGTCCAGGCGTTCTGAGGGCAGCACAGAAGCCACAAATACCTTGGGGAAGGTGAGGGAGAAACAGATGGGGACTAAATAACCTGGAGCAGGTGCCTCGTACTCTTTTCTTCTCCAAATCCCTGGAGCTAATCTAAAGTAAGCCTCCTCTCCGAAGCTGTGTCTCCATGAGAGGTAAAGGGTAGAGACCAAACCTCAGGAGTTATTTTCAGAGATGGAGAGTAACTATGGTTACTTGGTGACTGAAGCCTCTACCGTAAGACCCTCCCACAGACTGTCATCTGTATTTCCCCATAAGCATCACCCCTAGGGAAAATGAGTTTATGTGCCAGGAAATATTTCAAGAGCATAAACATTAGAAACAATAGCAGAAGTACAGCTATTAGAATAGAAAAACCAATCATTTAAAAGTGGTTGATCATAATAAAGACAAAAAAAAAAGGGAAGATTTTAGAATATGAAAAGAAAACAAGTATCAGGCAAAAAATAAATTTTTCTAGGTCTAAATATTTTTAGTGACTCAAGACAGATTAGCATTAAATTGGCAGCCATAAGTTAGAATGGATTCACAAAGAACACACTCAAAACTCAACTAAATAATTCATCCAGTGATCTCATTTTCAAGGAGAAAGTACTATAAAATTAGTTACTAAAGACTCATTTAGAATTCAATTCTGCCCGCTGAACAGTTCTGAGTTAAAAAAACACAGTCTTGCTCAGACTGTCTTACCTGGAAGAGGTTTAGGAGGAGGCAGCTTTGGATTACTACTTGGAGTATGAACACTGCATATCTTAATAAATCCAGCCATTAGCATGATCAGGGCAATTCCCATAAGTAATACAGCCCACCAATAAACCTAGAAAGAAACAGATTTCTCTACTGAAAAAGCTATAAAATATTTTAGGATATTTTATATTACATAAAATATATATATTACATTTTAATTTTTGAAGAACATTTGTTCAGAACACTTGCTCATTGGGAGTTGTACAGATACCATATATAAGCACATACAGATTTTTTTTAATGTCACAGAAATATTAAGGAAAAAGACAAAAAACGCCCATAATTTCACATCCTAGATGAAACCACTCAATCTTATTTTTCTTTCAGTTTCTTTTCTAGATATAGCTATGGTGGGCACACACACAGATAAACTCACATGCAAAACTAAGGTCCATCCTGCATATAGTTTACACTGTATTTTCCCATGTTATTAAGTATTTTATGGTTTGAATATTTTATTTATTTATTTATTTATTTATTTATTTATTTATTTCTCTCTCTCTCTCTCTCTCTCTCTCTCTCTCTCTCTCTCTCTCTCATAAACTATGTCTGTTTGCCTTTAGATTCTCCAGGGGCTTAGAGGGTATATTAGTTACTTTAAATTCTACTTCTAGATAAATTTTTAAAATAATCTTCAACCTATGCTTTTTTCTAATCGTCAAATACTAAATTCTCTCTCTTTTGAGCCTCCCCCCTTTTCCTGTTATTCTATTTCATTTGAAATTTAAGCCCCAGACTACTGCTATGAAATTATTTTATCATAAATCTTAGCTTTCACTGTATTTTATATATAATATATAAATATTATATATTTGAATCATAACATCTATTATTTATAATAATTTATTTAAAGGTTAATTGTCTTTTTTAATATGAAAAATGGAAGGATATACACATTCTACAAGCAAAGTTTACCCAGTCTAAGAAGGAAGTAAAACTTTCACTTCTAGCTTAAATCATATAATTAGCCAACCAAAAAACTTCAAAAATTACTAGTATAATCTTATTTACAGAAAAATTACTGTTTCTATTCTTAATAAATTCTAAGTCTATTTTGCAATTCAAAATACTCAGATTTGGTTTTAAGACAGTAAGTAATAATAAGCATCATACAAAACAGTTACAACTTTATAACCTTCACATTGGTTTAACATAGACTGATGTATTACATATATAGTTATTGCTAATTATAGCCCAAGAAACCCCCATTTAAGATTTTCTATGATATGAAGTCTTAAAACAGCCTACTACTTCTATACTGTTTTTTTATCCAGCAGTGACAACATAATTAAAGTAATAAAAACTGAAATAAAAATACATGTTGTGGGAAATGCCCCAAGCCACTTTTTTCATGTGTGCATAAAGGCTTTCACATACAAATTTATTTTTAAGTTGGTTTTATTTTGAAAGAATCTCAAACTTATAGAAAAGTTGCTAGTACAACAAACTTTTTAAAATCTGGAACCATCTGAGAGTAAATTACTAGCATGATGCTCTGTTATACCTAAACATCTTAGCATGTAATTTTACACCATAAGGGGTTTTCTAGATAACCACAACACAATCATCAAGATCAGTAAATTAGCACTGATACATTACTACCATTTAATCCTCAGACCCCCTCAAGTTTTGCCATTTGTCCTAATACTATCCAATTGAGAATTACGTGTTGCTTTTAGCTGCTGTATTTCTTTAGTTTCCTAAAATCTGGAAAAGTTGTACAGTCTTTCCTTGGTTTATATAACCTTGACACTTTTGAAGATTACAGGCCAGTTACTTTGTATTATATGTCCCTCAGTTTTGGTTTCTTAGATGTGTCCCTATGATTAGATTCAGGTCATACATCTTTAGTAAGAATATCACAGAAGTGATGCTGTGTTGTTCACATCGCATTCCATCAGGTGACACAGGTTTTTGATCTTGTGACTGGTATGTTAACCTGATCACTAGACTAAAAGGTGATACCTGCCAAACTTCACCATAGAGACACTCTTCTTTTTTGTAGTCAGTGAGTCTTCTGTAGGGACATAACCTGGAGCTACATAAATATCCCCTTCTTCATCAAACTTTCAACTTGCTCATTTCACTCAGTATTGCCTCATGGTTTCCTATTGTATTCAATGGGTTTATAATCCATTACTATCACAGTGTGTCTTTTGAACATGTCCCTACCAGTCTTTGAGCAACTTTACTTTCTGGCACAATTAATTCTAGGTTTATCTTATTCTTTCCCTGCCCCAGCCCTCGAATCAGCCGTTTCTCCAAGGAGCCCTGGCAGAATTGCCCCTCCTATGTAGACACCCTTCTCACACAACACTTGTACTAAGATAGCCCAAGCCAGCTGCCCCTCCACAAGGTGCCCTTCTCACCTGCTTGGGCTTTAACACCTCATATTGGTCTTCTTCCCCATTCCGCACCCTCCCTACTTTGCTCAGGCTCTAACACCCTGTTGTGTGCCACTATAGCTCCCCCCACTTGGTATGGATGCCCACCTTACTTGTCCTCACCTAATGGCTTTAGGAATATACTGTTCAAAAAGACAGAGGTAATGCAATTCAGCCTCACTGCTGAAAGATCTGATTTTTTCAACAGAAGCTACAGATCTCAATTTTTATGTGGAAACTATTTTTAAGTGCTGTCAACTCACTCAAAATTTCTAAAAACAATACAGACCTTACAAGACATGTTTACAGAATCTCGGTTGGAAACCACAAGTTTACAATCTACTTTTCAGAGTTCACTTTTTGTATCCTACCAAGACTGCTAGAGAATCTTTTAAAATTTTCTTTTGGTTTCTATAGAAAATAACTTCCAGAGCCTTGCTCTACTTGTGAGTTTTTAGGATAGTATTTCCTTTGTCTTGCTGCATGAATTTTCCATAGTCTATATGCGCAGCTTCTGTCCTGTTTCTAGCACCCGGAACCCTTTTAAATATGCCACTTAATGAAATAGGACCTTCTTCTCCCTCCACTGTCTGCATTTCTGACACTCTGACCTAGTAAAATACCTAAAGAACTAAAATCACCAGTTTGTACTACTCAAGTGTTCTTCCTGCTCTATACCAGTAGTTCTCAACCTTGGCTTGGCATGTTAGAATCATTTGGAAAGCTTTTAAAACTCAAGATACCTAGAGCAAATCCCAGACCCAAATAGCGTGGGGGTGGGACTATGACATCAGTAATTTTATTATGTGGTATTTCATTATGCAGGCAAGACTGAGAACCACTCGTCTCAAACTTTTTCTGTAAAGGGCCAAACAATAAATATTTTAGGCTTGTCTCTGTCAAACTACTCATTTCTTCATTCTAGTACAAAAGCAGCCATAGATAACATGCAAACAAATTAGTGTGGCCATATTCCAGTAAGCTATTATTTACAAAAACTGGGAGCAGGCTGGATCTGACCCATAGGCCATGGTCTGTCAACCCCTGTTCTACACCCATATACAGGACATTAGTTTGGAGCCTTTATCTAAAATGGATACCATCCAACACTAACTCTTTAGTTCTAAATCTCTAGCCCAACTACCAGCCTAAGAATTTTGGGAGAAGCTGAGAGTCTATGACTGGCTACAGAAAGAGAGAGTCCTATGACTGGGAAATGCTGCTCAAATAATCAGCACACATATGGTAAAGGGATGGTTCCTATCACTGAGTAGATCTAAGAATTATCTGATATGCTTATTAAAACACAGGCCACAACCCTACAAATTCCAATTCTGGTGTTCTGGTGAAAGGCCCAGGAAACTGCATCTTAAATGAGTACACCAGTGATGAGGATGCAGATGTGTGCTTCTTACCCAGTTTAGACATGCTGCCATTGTGGTACACAACCCCTGTGAGCAATACAGGAAGTTTAGCATCCCTGAACCTCATCCATCAAATGCTGGTAGAGCCCTTCAGTTACTCTGACAAATACGGTACATTCTCAAATTCCCTCTGGGGAAGAAGTACCACCCCTAATGTGATCCAGCCCATAAGCAGAAAGGATCAATGGTTTCCTACTACTTTCAGGCTGATGGGCTAATTACAGGAGATGCACATCTATTCCTAATGTTCATTATATTCTCTAACACCATTCCTTCCTTCCAGTCTTCCCTGCTCAAAACCATTTTCCAGGGACACTTGGGTGGCTCAGGTGGTTGTATCTGACTCTTGATTTTGGCTCAGGTCATGATCTCACAGTTTGTGGATCCGAGCCCTGCATCACGCTCTGCGCTGCAGTGCAGAACCTGCTTGGGATTCTCTCTCTGTCTGTCTCTTTCTACCCCTCCCCCACTTGCACATGCTCTCTTTCAAAATAAATAAATAAACTTAAAAAAACATCTTCCACAGGGTCATCAGTGTTACAACTACCTAAAATATGGAATTGACTATGCCATTCCTCTATGTAAAACCCTTTTTCAAAAGCTTCCTACCAAGGATCTCCAATACCATTAAGTGGGAAAGAGAAAAAAAACAAAAACAAAAACAAAAAAGGCCCTTGAGCACAATAAAGTACAGCAAAGTACCTATATGATTCCACTTTTTAAATATATATATGTATATTCTTGTAATGGTATAGATCCTTTCTGAAGAATACACAAAAAGTAATCTTCAGAAGACTGGGCTTCAGGGTAAAAAGATGGCTTATTTTTCAATGTATTACTTTGTCCATTAAAAAAAAGGTTGGGGTGGCTGGGTGGCTCAGTCAGCTAAGTGTCCGACTCTAGATCTCAGCTCAGATCTTGAGTTCATGGTCATGAATTCAAGCCCCACATGAGGAGTGAAGCCTACTCAAAATAAGTAAATAAAAATTTTTAAAAAAGGATAACCACACTTTCAAAAGGAAAAAATGTAAAAAACAAACAAAAACCTCTTTTATTAAAAAAAATTCATACTTATGTGACTTTTTAGGTGCTCCCTATCCATAAAACATCCATCTGTATCCTCTACTTCTAGCCCTTAAGAATTTAGTTTTGGCATCACCTCCTTAATAAAGAGTCTTCCCTAAATAGGGTCCTATTTTCTGTGAAAACATCAGGCAGAAATGAAAACATGTTTCTATGTATTTGTCACTCTAATTCAAATT